CCTTATGCCATTCACGGCAACAAACAAACCCGTCAGCGGCGCGTGGGGAGATCACCGAGGCACGGCACCACACTTGCTGGCTCGCACAGGACAGTGAACATGAGCTTGGGCGCCGCCGTGTTCGTCCACAGACCCTCGCCCGCTTTGATCGAACCATGATAGGTACTCCTCGCTGCAACCAAGTGATCACTTATGCGTGTGCGTTTGTCATGTGGACAACTCGCGTCAGTTGCCCTCGGTATCTCACTGTTGCCCCTCCCTCTCTCTACACTGCGCGACATGTCTTCTTGCAGGAAACCCCGCTGCTCAGGTACAACAAGTCAGTGCCCGCTACGGCCTAACCATGTCGGGTTCCCAGATGGCAGAGTACGCAGCACAAGCTCAAGGCAGAACTCACGTCAAGCGGCAGGAGGAGTTTGACAGACTGCACTCGTTCGTTCGTGAGTTTGGTTGCGAACTTGTGGGTGTGTGTCTGTCTGTCTGTGTGTGTCTGTCTGTGCCTGTCTGTGTCTGTGCCTGTGTGTCTGTGTGTGTGTATACACGTGTGTATGTACACGTGTGTGTACACAAGTATGTATGTGTTTGCGTCTGTGTGTACGTACACGTGCGCGCGTTTGTATGTACACGCATGTGCGTGCGTGCGTGCGTGTGTTTACATGCATGCACGTGTTTGTTTTGCCGTTGTTGCTTCAACACACTCAAGTATGCATACCACTGCGCTGATGGTCGTGCAGAGTGGATCAATGCAAATGGACATCATGCAGCGCACCTGATGACCAAAGACGGTGCATTTAGCGAGCTTCTGTTCTGCCTAAAGCTGAATGGTTTGTCGGCCAAGTCTCCAAAGGTCCTGTTCACGGACGCGACGCATCTGTCGTACAACAACATGATGCTCCACCTCTTGTGCCAACTGGACGCAGACAACAAGATCTTCATTCTGGGCGCCAACATAACCCAGCAGGTAACACCCTGTACGCATGTGCGCACGCGTGTGCATGTGTGTGTATGTCTGTCTGTGTCTGTGTGTGTGTGTGTGTGTGTGTGTGTGTGTGTACACGTGTGTGTGTATGGTGTGCGTGTGTGTGTGTGCACAGGCATACATATGCGTGTGTGTGTGTACACGTGTGTGTGTATGGTGTGCGTGTATGTGTGTCTCTGTCTCTCTGTGTCTGTGTGCGTATGTGTGTGTGTGTGTGTGCGTGTGTGTGCGTGTGTGTGTGTGTGTGTGTGTGTGTGTGTACACGTGTGTGTACACGTGTGTGTGTATGGTGTGCGTGTATGTGTGTCTCTGTATCTCTGTGTCTCTGTGTCTGTGTGTCTGTGTGTACACGTGTGTGTGCATACATGTGTGTGTACACGTGTGTGTATGGTGTGCGTGTATGTGTGTGCACAGGCATACATATGCGTGTGCATGTGTGTGTCTGTTTGTCTGTGTGTGTGCGTGTCTGTGTGTCTGTGTGTCTCTGCATCTTTGTGTCTCTGTGTGCGTGGGTGCGTGTGTATGTGTGCATGTGTGTGCGGCGCCACCTTGGAACTCATCGTGTACCTGCATCGATGTGACGTATGCCTTTTACTTGCAGGAAACCAAGCCCGCTTACGCACACTTGTTCCAGCTCTGCTTATCGGTCATGCCCCCACTTTGGGTGAGTCTCCATGTCCATGTATGCATGCACTTGTGCCCGTTTTCGCGTGTGTATGAACGCCTGCCTTGCTGCGTGTGCACGTGACCGGTGTTTATTCGCCTCCACGCACGCACATGCACACGCACTTACACGCACATGCATACGCTCACGCTCACACACTCACACGCACACTCACACGCACATGCACACGCGTGCGCACACATGCACACTTACACGTACATACACACGCACTTACTCACATACATACACACACACACTTGCAGGGCGAGCATACGATTCTCTCGGATTTAGGGACTGCTGTGACCAGCGCAATCAACGAAATACCCATGTGGCACCACGGCATGTGCTCCGTGCACATGCGAAGGCGTCTGCGGCACCAGCAACTCTTTGATGCAGCCATGAATGCAACCTCCGTGAGTGACCTGGAGAAAGCCCTGGAACGATACAGGACACAGGCGCCGAAGGAAGCTGCTCGCGTGAAGAACCGCATTTGCAACCTGAGCCCTCTTCTACACCCACTCGGAACGTACGAATCGCACGACCCGACACGACCGCGTGCTTGCATTGACACGCATGTGCACAGCGCTCGCACGACATGACCACACATGAGCGCGCACATATACTTGCACACTTGCGAGCACGCACGCACACACACACACACATGCACACACGCACGCATGCACTTGCACACTTGCGACCACGCACACACGCGCGCGCGCAAGCATACGCACACACACACGCATGCACACACATGCACACACACACACACACGAGGCGACCACATGCACTTGCACACTTGCGACAACGTATACACACACACATGCACACACGCGCGCGCGCACACACACACACACATGCACACACATGCACACACGCGCACGCACGCACATACATACACGCACGCGCGCACACACATGCACACACA